CACAAGCCATGCCATGGCCTCAGTGCCCCTGAGAATGGTGCCCGCAGTCCTGAGAAGCGGCTACACCCAGCGGGGGCCACCATTCACTTCTCGTGTGCCCCTGGCTATGTACTGAAGGGCCAGGCCAGCATCAAGTGTGTGCCTGGGCACCCCTCACACTGGAGTGACCCCCCACCCACCTGTAGGGCTGGTGAGTACCCTGGTATCTCCCCCAAATCCTGCCTGGTCCACAGGGCCATACTAGCAAAGATATCCAGTGTTGAGAACCAGAACCACCTGCCCATACCCCTTTCACATCACCCCTCTGACCGGGCATCAAGACAAATGCTCGAGTGGGCTCCCCTTGGGCATATATTCAATGAGCAGCCCATCCCTCCCTCCACTCCCTGCCTTAGTGGTTCAGCCCACTGGGCTCACCCACTGCGCTTGGCCCTCCCTCTGTTCCAGCCTCCCTGGATGGGTACTACAGCGGCCGCAGCCTGGATGGTGAGTCCCCATCCTGGAGGGCCAGGGAAATAGTCTCCCTGTGCTCATTCTCACAGCTCTCAGGCCATGGGTTCCCTGAGGAGGGAGGGCAGAAAAAGAGAGGTCTGGGGCTAGCAGGGCACCCTCCCCTGCCCCCAGCCAGCTCGAGGGAGCTGGTGCCCAGAAGTTCTTGGGCAGAGGTGAGGGGATGTGGGCTCCAGGGACAGGGTCCCCTGCTCCAATCCACCCTCGTTTGCAGTTGCCAAGGCACCTGCTGCCTCCAGCACCCTGGATGCCGCCCACATTGCAGCTGCCATCTTCTTGCCGCTGGTGGCCATGGTGCTGTTAGTGGGAGGTGTGTACCTCTACTTCTCCAGGTGAGTCTGGCTCCTTTTCCTGCTCTACATACCTGACTCACTCCTGCCCAGCACTCCTGATTCAGGCTTCCCTGACCCATAGGCTCCAGGGGAAAAGTCCCCTACAGCTGCCCCGAACACGCCCCCGCCCCTACAACCGCATCACCGTGGAATCAGCATTTGACAATCCAACTTATGAGACTGGAGTAAGTACCCATGCCAGCCTTGACACCCTACCGAGCGCCCGATCTCTGCTCCTGGGGGAGGGCTCTCTTCAAGTCCTGCAAAGCCTTCTTACCTTTCCCCTTTCTCTTAGAAAGGCAGCGTATGGCCTGGCAAGCCTTATACAAGTTTCCAACTCCCTGCAGTCTCTTTCCTTTGCAGGAGACGAGAGAATATGAAGTCTCCATCTAGCTTGGGGAACCCAACTCAGTATCGTGGTCCAGCGGCAGGGCTCCAGGCTTCCTGCTGTCCCTCTGCCTCCTGTACATATCACCTGGGAAGAGACGTCCTTGATCCCTCCAGAAGTTGTGCCTGTCCCTGCCTGCAATGCCCACCATGGCCTGTTTTCTTGGTACCACTGCTTACTTAGGGCCTTTCCTGGGGCCCAAGTCAGGGGGCATCTGCCTGTGAGGAGATCACAGCTGGAGCACGCGCCATCAGCAGCAGGCATTCTCCTGACCCTCTCTCGCATCCTGGACCTCGAGCCTGGAATTCACAGGCAAAGCAGGAACATCTTTCCCCACAGGACTGCCATCCAGCCCTGGCATCTAGGACCCTGCAGTAGGGTTGACCGTGATAGAAACTGCACCAGGGTGCTCTTCACACAGCCATCGCCAGTGGCCAAAACTGCTCTTGATGGTAACCACCGGCTAGTCCTGGCATGCCAGCAGCCTCCAGGGGAGGTCTCTACTCCTCTAAAGCCTTGAGAATGAACAGCTCTGCCTCCTGCCCTATCCTGGTGGAGGCAATAATTCTAAGGGATCCTAAGAGGTTCAGGAACCCTACCATAAGCTCAGGTTGGGCTTCCCTGGACACTCATGCTCCACACCAAAGCAGGACATCCCACTACTCCCCTGGCACACTATACCCTGAGGAGAAGGAGACCCTTTCCTGATGTTTATCTGGCTGCTACAGACATCCTCTACCCCACTAGGTCCTCCTGCACACCTAATCACTTGCCAGGATCCCTTCCATCCTGGCTACTGTGTGATGGGATCAGGGGAGTGGGCAGGCATATGCTGAAGAGAAGCAGAGATGCAAGGATCCAGGACTTTGGCTTGGAACAGGGGGTCAGAGAGTCCCAGGGAGAGGCCCATGAGCTGGCTGAAGGCCACTTTGTACATGTAATGTATTATATATGGGGTTTGGACTCTGGCCAGAGAACAATCTTTTATTTCTGTTGTTTCCTTATTAAAACAGTGTTTTTTGAAAAAACCAAGTAACAGCCAGGTGGATGGTGTTTTTTTTGGAAGGAAGGGAGGTGGGGAATAAATGGGAGGGGCACTTCAGGATCAGAAGGGCATGGCTTCACCAATCATCTTCAGATTTCATAAAAACCAGTTATGTGCAGTAGAGCAGGGACCCTGTCCCTGAAAGATCAGTCCAACAGACAGCAGGTGAAACAAAAAGCCCTAGTGACTGGTGCCATAAGGGTGTGGGAGCCCAGAAACCCAACTGCCCATCCACCCCAATGCCTCACATCCCCCTCTTTGCCAGGCCTAAACATTCAGGCTGGCACACTCCCAAACCCATTCTCAATGCCACTGGATTACTGAGAAGGCCCCAAAAGTTGGATACATCTCCTTTCCTTTCTTTCCAAGCAAGCAAGCCTTAGAAAATAGGAATAAGAACCAGAGACTGAACCCCTGAACATGAGGCCCTGGTCTGGCTTGAGCTCAGAGAAAATCCAGATCATCAAGAGCAGAAGCAATGCAGATTAGGGGCCTGACCCTGAGTTAGGCAAAAGCCCTACCCTTGGGCTCTGAAAAGACATGGCTGAACAGAATCTGCTTGTCTGCCTTTCCTGCAGCCCCCAGCACCTTTGGAGATGAAAGTGTTTGCCCAACGTTGGCCCTCTGCATGCCCATTCCATGTGTAGAGGTGTGCACCACGTGGCTATTCTCCAGAGTAAGAAAAAGAAGCACCCAACAGGGAGTTTGGGGGACTCAGAAGCCAGAGACAAAATTTTCTGAAAGCAATCATCAACTTCTGCTCCTCCAGTCTTCTAACAGGGAAATCTTGGCCACTCATGCTGCCCGTCCCCTTGCCTGCATCTACCACAAGCCACTTTAAAGGATGAAGTTCCAGTCCATGCAGAGTGCAGTGCCTAGGTTAGCCACAAGAGGTCACTTCTAAAGGCATCTGTATCCCACCTGCTCGCTCTCTCCTTAATCCCCCCTTGAAAGTTAGGGCTGGAGTTCTCCAAGGTGGCACCAACTCCTGGCCCCACTGGACTGACTTCATCCTCCAAGTTGTAAGAGGAAGCTGGGGTGGGGGTGGGGGTGTCATTAGTTCCTGTGGCACTTGTCAAAAAAGAGCCAAGTTATATTTTCCTTATCAGTCCATTTAGTGTTCCTGTTCTCAGCTGCAACTGATAGTGTTGATCAAAGCAACACCTTGCTCACTGAGCATGTACCAATGTCTTATTTATCTGTCCCATAATGCCTTCAAGTTGATGCAGCAGTACAGCTGAGCCCTGGGCAATAGGAAGGAAGCCAATGAGAAAGGGCACATGACATTTCAATTTCTGAGGGCCTGGGGCATGAATTACAACTCCAGAAGAGAAAAAAATCTGGCTACATACACTCTAGCTCAGCCCTCCCTCTCTAAAGAAGGCCACCAAACATTCACTAAAGTCTATTGTTGGCTGAGGCTGACCTAAGGCAGAGAGCAGCCAATTTACATGCATTCTCCACCCAGTTCACCTCCCACCCCTCAGTCTTATTCTTTCCATGACCATGTACCCTACTGATACATCAGAAAAGTACAAGGTCAGAAAAACAAACCTAAGACTCCACATTGGCATCTTGGCCCTATCTAATTCATCCTCTTTACTGTCCCAAAAGGCGCAACAATTCTTCAGAGGCAATTAACATGGTATAGTGGACAGTGTCTGGCCTGGGAACCAAGAAATCTATTTCATTCATAAGTCTGCCATAAATTTACTAAGTGACCTAGGCAAAACACAGGGGGTTATGTCAGATGGTCTTCAAGCCCTTTCCAGTTTTAGGACTATGAGAAAGCTAAGTGTGTCATAACAGTAATGGTGAGCAGAGCACAACTACCTGGCAACAATGACAATTAAACGTCTAGCGTCAGGCATAACTATCTGACTCCCTTCTTCACTACTCCACAGTCAAGCAGTGATAACTAATCATCTCTGACCGCTCTATGAAGGGGCGGGACTAGCGCGGTGGCAGCTAGCATGAATCCCCACCCAGAATTGGAGGGGAGAAGCTCGGACTACAAACCCCGGCATGCAACACTGCCGCTCTCAAAAGTATCTCTTCCGGCCCGCAAATCACTCTTCCCTGGGTCCCTCCGGCCGTACAGTGCAACGCATGCAAACGCAACTACGAGTTCCACAATCCTTTAGATCCATCACGTCATTGTTCCCAGGGTGCAATGCGCTGCCGTTTGCCCTTTGAGCCCCTTGCGCATTGCAAACTGGGGGTTGAAGTCCGCTATAGGCAGGTAGCTGGGCGTTGTCAGGATCACAAACACTCCGCTTCTGGCTTCCTCTTGAAGAGAAGTTTTGAGGGTCAGTGGTTAAGATGGGGTAACGGGCAGACGAAAGTCTCCACGGTGCTATCGCCATTCAAGACAGAGATGTTCGGGCTAAAATTAACTGTTGGGAGTGAGAGGGAAGGGGAAAACCGCAGCTATCCAACCCGCCACCAAAAGGGTCGTTTTCTGTCGCAATGTCTTTTCTTTTTCTCTTTATCAAGATGGCGGCCTGGCCCAGCCACACCTGATGCTGTAACCAAATAGTCCATTACAACATCGCTAGGAAAAATACTGCTGTCACCGACAGCCTGCCAGCTCCATCCAACATCACACTTGTTCCTGTCGGTTCGTAAGGACTCCAAGGGCAAAATAGCCTATATCCCATTACCAAAATGGCGAAAGAAGCAGCTTTCTTGTAAGGGCCTCCAGGTGACAATACGCCTGCGCGGGAGGTGGGCTGTGTTGTTACGGGGCAGGAGCGGCGCACCCTCAACACGCCTGCGCGAGAACAGAGTCCTCTCGGTCTACACACAAACACCAATGGATGAGGCGTCCCCAGGTTGTTGCGGCTGCGCTGTGACCCCTACGAACTTTCCCAGACGCCTGCGCGAGGCCTCAGGTCCCGCCCCTTTATCTCAGTACGCTGGCGCAGGGCGAAAAGGCGGGGCTTCGGAGCTCCAGGCGAATGCCAGCGCGGCTGCGCGCTGGGGGGTATCCCCTCACCACGGCTGCGCGACAGCCCGGCC